GGCAAGGGAGGGAAGGGCCAGAGAAGAACAAGGGACAAAGGGTTTGCTAGACAGCAGGAAAAAAGGGTTTGCTAGACTACAGGAAGCAAACATGAGGTTCCAGGGGACTGAAGAGTTCTTTCCTGATTTTTAGCACTCCTGAGAGAAAGGGGTAGGTGACCAGACTGATGGCAGTGTAATCCACCAGGGCATGCATGCCCCCAGCAAGGCCACACCAGGCCAGTCACTGGAGCAGTCCCACACACAACTGCAGCTCAAGGATGGAGAAGACCAAGCACAGAGTCTCCAGGTAGGTTGGACTAGAGAGTCAGAGATGCCCTCTCAATTAAAGCAACAAGAGGTTGGGACAGGAAGTCAGGCGCTCTGAGGCCACCATTCTACGATGCTTGCCAGAGTACAGGTCACCCAGGATAAAGAAAGTACCATGAGAAGAGGAGGGTAACAAGGAGGATAGCAGCTCTGAGGTCAGGAGAAGAGTCCCAGCAGGTGAGCTTCATGGCAGGCTGCAGAGCACTGGCTTAGACCAAGAAACCCTGTGGTGACACTGGCAAGAATGAGCAGCCTCTTTAGGGAGGTGGCAGAGGGTAGTGGCCCTACCTGGTCCTCACTTGGACAGACAACACCAATGCCCAAGGGAAGGGCCTGCCGGGAACGGATCCAGGACCTGGATTCCAGCCCCTGACATGCACATTTTCCACAGATGTCATCTTGCAGCCTTCTGGGACAGGTGACCAACAGTTGGTTGGGAGAAAATTCACAAGGGCGTCATATACCTGCCTACTTGAGAAACTGTTTTGAGGTGGGGCAGTTTGAGGTCGGGTCTCACTATGTAGCTCAGGTTGACTCTAAGCTCTTTACATAGCACAGGCTAGCTTTAAACTCCCTTGGTGAGCCCTCCTGCCTCAGCCTCCAGAGTACTGAGTACAGGCATGTGCCACCATGCTCAGCTGAGAGAGATTTAAATAATAAATATCTGACAAAAAAGGTCTCAGGTCTAATTCACAAATTTTTCTTCATTGAGACCAATTTGCTAGAGCTAATGAAAGAAGTCAAAATGTAACTGAGCATACACAACTGCAATTAAAATTTATACATAAAACTGAAGGCAACCCTGGGGTCAAGGAAGGCTATAAGATGTCAACAAATGACCCTGTATTGGACCATCTGCTGGCCTGTGTTCAGCTTATGATCCTGAGACCACAGTCTGCACACAGCCAGCCTGCACAGGCCCAAACATATCCACAAATGATGCCCTAGACTAGGAAAGGAGCCAGCTGGACTGCATCAACCAAGGTCAGCCTCCCAGAAATAACACCGCACTGTGTCATACAAGATATGACCACAGAGGATACTGGCTGGATCACTCTTATTACTTACAGTTGCAGGCAAGCCCAAGATTACTAAAAAAGAAAAAAAAAAAGTTTTTAAAAAATTCAAGGTAACAAAGCAAAGTTTACACCTGAAAAATACTCTCTTCAAAATCTGTTTATAACACTGCCTAAGAAACTAGTCTCAGAGCTCAGTGACTCACAGCCACAGATCTGGAGGGGCAGGGAATGGCTAAGTGTCAGACCAGTGGCGCGCACCCCATGCTCAGAACACACATAGCTCCAGGACTGTCCTGCACTAGGAGCCACAGATTCCACAGGACAACTGTCCTGTCCCACGGGTACAGCACCCAACAGAAGAGGAAAGCACTTTTCCAACAGCCTATGTTTACAAATACTTCTTACTGCTGGAGGGAAAAGGAATCTAAGGGAAGGAAATACAGTATTTTGTAAGAAATTTATTACACACATTCACTGTTTTAAGAGATAGCTTCTCATTTGATTTTTATAAAATTTGCCAATACATTCTTCATAGAACATACCTTGTCAATGTAAAAACACTCTGTTCACATAAAAATATATTTCAGGTGCACGCCCGCAATCCCAGCACTCAGATCACTGCGAGTTCAAGATCAGCCTGGGTATACAGTGAGACCTTGTCTCAAAAACAAACAAACACACCTTTCATTATGTAGCCAGCCCTAAATACCTTGCTTGCAACCAAAAAATACAATGCTTAGACAGGGATACGATCTGTAGTATTAAACAGTTATCCAGCCTGTACCAGAGGAAAGCTCGGCACACATGGAACAGCCCAGTCAATGAAACGCAGAAACGCAGAAAAACGCAGAAACCAGAAAGCTACCGATTCAGCTTATTTTGTGTAAGGTCTTATGACACTTAGCCCTAGAGAAAACCTATGGTTGGCTCACTAAAATTAAATATGATAAAACGAGGCAGCCTACTGAATTAGCTACACAACCTACTGAATTAGCTACACAAAAATATAATCACCAACTGTTAAGAAACATTTAAAAACTCTAGGATTGTAACTGTTTACAAAACCATGTGCATACTTCATAGTCTAATATCTACCCATGAGGATTGTTATATGAAGCAAAGGTTTAAGCAAAATCACTGTCAAAGTCATGAAAAAAATTGTTTATAATAGGAAAATGTTGATGATATATTGCTAGGTAGGAAATCAGAGTTTGTAAGATTCTCATTTTGCACACTACAAAATCAACAGCATTTAGGTATATCAATGATGAACACACCAACAGGTAAATCAGGAAACAATTCCACTTCCAACAGCTTAAAAAAAAAAAAAAATCAGACAACTAGGAATCAACCCAACCAAGGTAGTGAAAGATCTCCACAGTGGAAATTACAAAACTCTGAAGAAAGAAGTTGAAAAGTAGATTAAAAATGGAAAGACGGGGCTGGGGATTTAGCTCAGCGGCATAAGTGCCGGCCTTCCAAGCAGGCGGTCGTGAGTTCGATCCCTGGTATCGATAAAAAGGAAAAAGACAAAATAAATAAATAAATAAAAAATAAAAATGGAAGGACATTTCTTGTTCTTGGATCAGCAAATTAATATTGTTACAATGGCCATGTTACCAGAAGTAATCTACAGATTTAATGCAATCCTATTAAAAATACCAATGGTCTTTGCAGAACTACAAAAAGAATCCTAAAATTTATATGCAATCAGAAAAGACTCAGAATAGCCAAAGTAATCCTGGATCCCACCCCTGAAAAAAGTAAGAGGTATCAATATACTGGATTTAAATATTATGTAACACTGCTACAGTAACAGAAAACAGAAACAACAGGTACTGACATAAAAGCACACACGCAGAACAACAGAAAAGAACAGGAGACACAGAAACAATCCCATGCACCCACACACATCTAAGTGCTGACAAAGGTGCCCTAAAAAATAACACTGGAGAAAGACAGTCTCTTTAACAGTGCAGGAAAAACTAGAGATCTGATTGCAGAGAAGACTGAAAGTAGGTCCCGTCACCCTGAACTAAAGTAGAAAAAAATTCGATCAAAGACCTAGATATAAAACAGAAGCTTTGCAACTGCAGGAAGATAACACAAGCAAAGCCATAGCACAAGCAAAGGCTTCATGAATCAAGCTTTAATAGCACAAGAAATAATATCAAGAGTCAACAAATGGGATTACCATCAAATTAAAAGGCTTTTACACAACAAAGAAAACAATCAACAAAGTAAACATCTCTTATGGTAGAAAATTAATATTTACAATACTTAATATCTAGAATATGTAAAGAACTAATGTCTGGAATATATAACCCATCCAAAACAAATGATGCAATCAAAAAAATGGGTAAATGCACTGCACAACACTTCTCAAAAGAAGTACACAGGCTCAGTAAGTATACAAACAACTGTTGATTATCATTAGCCATTAGAGAAATACATATTGTAACAACTCTGAAAGTCCATCTTATCTCAGTCAGAATGGCTATCATGAAGAATATAAAAACTAACAGGGGCAAGGGCTAGGGTCGGGGGTGATATGACTCCTCCTACATCACTGGAAGAAATGTAGACTAGTATAACCACTATGAAAATCAGTATGGAGATTCCTCCAAACACCAAAACCAGAAATACCATCCAACCAGCTATAACTGTCCTAGATATATTCCTAAAAGAATTAAAACCATGACTCTGTAGTGGTAATGTGCATTTCCATCTTTATAGCAATTCAATTCATAATAGCTAAGCTTTGGAAACATAGCCATCAACAGATAAACAGAGAGAAAAATATGGTGCATATATACACGATGGAATATTACAAAGAAAATATTCACGAAGAAAAAGGAAATTGTCATTTGCAAGAAAATGGATGGAAATTAAGACCATGATGGTAAGTGAAACAAGCCAGATTCACAAAGTTGCATGTTTCTCTTTTCATAAAACTAAAAAATAAATATCAAAAAATAGAAGGAAACTATCAGACAGGAAGGGAAATAAAGAGAAGAAAAAGGCTAGAGGAAAAGAGATTGAAAATAATAAGGACGTACCTATTCTCCAAAACAAATATCATTATTTTGTACTATAAACATGCAATAATTTTAACAAAAAGATTCCAATTTTGAATGGAAGAGAACATGTGTTTATTCAGGAAAAAAAACCTCAAGATTATAAACCCAAAAGGCACTGTTTTTAAATAATATTTTTCTTTACTTTCTATATTTCACAAGTGTTCTAGAGTGAGTACACACTACTTTTGTAACTGAGGAATGGGGTGGGGAACTAAAGTATACTAGTAAATACTTTAATACTTAAAGGCCATGAAATCATGTGCAAATGATATACATGGCTCTCATGTACACACATATAACAATGATAATAATTATTTGAAAGACAGAAAAATCATGCACGTAAAAAGAAAAAAAAAATCAGTGGGAACCATATCAAACAAAATAATGGCAGCAGCATTTGAAAGGTGAAATAATTATAGGCAATTATTTTTCCTTGTACTGTATTATTCCGTGAAGCTTTTAAGACTATGTATTATATAAACTGAAAAGAATCACCACACTTGTTCCCCTAACCCACAGCCTCCTTCTTTGTCCCTGTCCTGCTCTCTAAACAAACCGACATATACATGCACATGAACCCACAAGTACTTACATGGGCTCACATCTCTGTATCTGTTTCGATTTCTGTTTTCCGGAAACTTGGCCACTCTATGAGGATAGTCATGGGACTCATTCCGAATTTCCTTAAAATAACAAAAATATATTTTAATATCTCTCTTAAGTTTTATTTAGCAAAACGCATCTTCCCAGCCAGTGTAGAATAGCATCTATTAAGCACTTCTGACACGCTGAGTGGCACGTAAAGCATACAGACTATGTCACTGCTCATTTAATCCAAACAACACAAACAGAAACACTACTTTTCCCCACTTCACACATGAGGGATGCCAAGCTTTGAGAACTTAAACAATCTGCCAAAGATCAAATAGGTGGCAAGTGGCAGTGCCAGGACTGAAGCCAGGACCTTCGGACACAGGAAGTCTGTGCAGTTTATCTACTGACTGCCTAGTCTAGGCCCTGCTCAGCACCTCTCAGCAATAAGACAGAATTAGCACAACAGAGGCATGAGCCACATCACACTGACTCTCTCATCACACTAACCTAACTACCACAACTCCTCTATCTTTACATTCTTACCTATGTCTTCACTTTCATGTGACATAATTGTTACTTTGACAGCAGAAAGGCATAAAATTTATTTCTAGAGCCACAGATGATTAATAATAACAGATAAGCTTGAGGTTTGTTTCAAGATCGCTTAGGTTTGTGTGTGTCCCACACGAGGGAATCTTATAAACTATATACACTAAGCACCCAGCCACCTTGTGTGTCCTGTAGAGCCAGCTTTTATCTCCCAACTGAAATATTATTTCAAGGCTTCATCAGGCGACGGGTGAAAGGTCAGACTATGGCAGCAGGTCTGGCTGGGGCAAGCGGGAGCAGGGTGCCCGTGCACACCTGTGGGGAAGCGGTAGCACTGGCATGCCCTCTTTGCAGATTCAGGGCTGCACTTATCTGTCACTCCCTCAACTCCAGACCCCAGGCGATGAGGCCACCTTAGTTGAATGACCTGAGCCAAGCTCATGGAGAGCTCACAGCAGCAAGGACAATGCTGAGCAGAAACTGAAAGGTACAGGAATCGAGCTCAGAGATGTACCACCACACAGTTAAAGAGGTTAGCCCTGGTTACCTTTCTACTCAGCTAATGTGTTGGAGCTGGGCGAGCTAGCAAAGCTTGCCTATTTCAGCAATACCGCTGCAGGTGAAGTATGCTGCAGGGTGGACCATGCAAAGAACGGAAGAGACTTTCCATCATGACACTAGGATGCCTGGCACTTACCTAAGGCCAGGCACAGGAACTGAAATGTTAAATCATGTCTTAGACACCGACTGGTAAGAACTCCTACCTGCACATCCAGATCAGTCATGAGTCAACAACTGACTCTACAGGAAGTCTGGCTTTGAGACTAAGACAAAGAACTACCATATACTATGTGCTTCAAAAAAACCTCTAAGTCTCCTCTGGTTAGAATGCAGAGATGCAACAGACAGATCACCCAGCAAATCACCAATGAACTTTCTGGCACTTGCCTGTCATCAGATGGAGAGGCCCACTGTCCCCAGCCCGCTCTGCTAAGCTTTCCCTCCTTATTCTCTTGCTCTTGGTTCTTTCCACCCTCCCTCACCAAAGTTTTAATAATTTCAAGGACTTTTAGAAATAATCAAGTTTGGACTGTTTTAGTTCTCTCGTTTTTGTGAGGTGGTTTAATTGGGAAAATCTGCTTACTTTCATAGCTTATTAGCTATGTGTAACCTGGAAATTCGGGTATCAAATGATTTCAAATTATTTAGCTTTTTAAAAAATGTCCTGCTTTCACGCTGAAGAGCAGAACCTACAAATATTACTTATTTTAAAAGACAAAAAGAAGCAACAGCAGTATTGTTTCCTCTGACTCACAGACAAAGCTGGCATGTTCGTGGTGCTCTGGGCTTTGAAGACTAACTGTGGGACTCCTAGACATCACTTGTGCTCCAGCCTGAGTCCTCCCGAGACTCTCAGGAGATGGACCACTGTTGCCATTGTGAGAGCACAAATTTTTTAAATATTCTAGCTAGCAATAATAGCCTTTAACTGACGTAAAGAGGTTATTGTGATTTTGTTTTTTTCTTGTCCTTTTTTCCCCCAGTAAGTCCAAAATACCATAGTTAGTCTAACTTTAAAAAATAGAATTGATCACATGCCTGTAATTCTAGCACTCAGGAGGCTGAGGCAGGAAGATCATTGTGAGTTCAAGACCAGCTTGGGCTACAAAGTGTCTCAAAAAAACCAAAAAATTTTAGAATTGATATCCTTATAAGTTAACACCACTAAATAAACCTGAAGGAGGTGTTTGTTTCTTGAACATATTTTAAAATACCCAAAAGGAAAGTTTAGATGGACTTGTAGTACAATAAATGTGTTTAGCATCAACTAATACAGGCTGTTAAAAATGTTGCCAGTGAGTGTTTGATTATATAGGAAAGAAGATCTAGACAGTACTTTTTTATGGTACTCTTTATCTGTTGGAGAATATCCCAAATTTGCTCAAGTTCAGTGTCTACAATACTGTATTTCAGCATTTGGGGTAAGAGGAATTACTGACACAAATTATTTCTATTCTTGGAAATGCAGAAGCACAAAGTGTTAACAATATAAATGTCACTGTGACTTCCTCTACTGGTTTGACGCTAGAGCATCAGCTGGTAAGCAGGGAGTGGGTCTGATAGGTCAGTAACTTTTTATAAGATGAGACATCAGAATTACTAATGTTTTCCTCCTACTGTCCAATACCCAATATTTGCAATTTTCTAGACTGTCACTGTTGGTGGCTAAGAAACGTCTTGGTACACATGAAAGCAATGCACAAAGCTTGAGTTTTCTGTCACCTGACTTTAAAAGGAAGTTTGGTTTTTATTTATCCTCATATGCAAAAGTCTTCATTTCCAAACAAGTTACATGGCAAAATTACTTTATAGAATGTTTATACATATTTTATACTCTTGAGTTTTCAATGAGAAACGCGGAAGTTCAAAGTAAAATACACCTCAGCTGTCTTGAATGAGAAGAAGAAATTTTAAAGGAAGATGAGTGATGAATGAGTCTATAGCGTTTGAATACTGTTGAAAATGTAGGAAGACCATGTTGGTTACTTTGATACCAGTTTTTTAATCTAAATCTAGGCTTAGAAGAAGTATTTAACATTAAGCACCTAGAACTAGAGATAATGTTCAGTGGTACAGTGCAAGGTCGTAGCAAGCACAAGGTCCTAAGTTTGATTCTAAGCACCAAAATTAAAAAAAAAAAAAAGGTTAACATTAAACACCTTCACCTTTATGGGTTTTAGCTTGCTCTTGTATAGAGTACTTGAGTTTCAGAAGGCATAATTAGCATGAAGACTGCAGCCTTTTGGAAATTTCCAGATATCAAAATAGATTTTTATATACAAATGAATTTTTGAGACAACACTGAAAATAACTTTTTCTTTAACTATTTCACCTGGACTATCTAAGCAGTCCTATGAATGCATCCCTAAATGTGGTTATTGAAAACCAAACAGCTGTCTTATAATTAAGTATGTGTTATTTGAAGACAGAAGAAAAATAAAAGTTTGAATTGAGTACGTAGTGTTTGGCAGGAATAACTTTAAAGAGATTTAAAGGATTTGGTACAGTTAAAAATTAAACTTTTCAGTTTTAACATTGTTCTAATATCTAAAATAAACTTACATGATGTTCTAGTTAAAAAGAAAAGAAAAGAGGACTTCCGGGAGAACATGGCGGACAGATAACAGCAACTACCGGAGGCTCTCTGAAAGGCTCGGCTCAGAAGTCAGAAATGATGCAGACTAAGAAGACATGAGCCAATAGAGATATGCTCTGCTGACTCAGGAACGAACTGGGCTGAGAGAAACCAACTTGGAATGCAGTCCTGGCGCTAAAATAGGAACAGAAAAGACTCGGTGTGGAGGCTGGACCCCGTGCCATTGGAAACCGCGATTTGGGGGGCTGCCGCCACAGCGGCTCAGCAAGGAGAGACGCGCAGAAGCTCTGGGAACGGGAGTCTGCGAACAGAGTCGAAAACAGGACGGACAAGGAGGCGTACACTGACTTGTGGCGAGGTGAGTGAGAGAAACTGACACTCTACCACAGTTTGACTCCAGCAGAGGACTTTCTGGGCTCGGGCAGTCCTGTAAGAGCAGGGCGCGGTGGCGACTCCAGCCACACATTCCCCTCTCGGACAGGATTGGTGAAAAGTGCCTGGCCTGCATGACGCTGCGGGCGGACTTGGTAGGCTGGCCTAACCCAGATCCCAGAGCCTGACGGTGGCCCGGAGGGGCGACTGACTCCCGCGTAGGCTGCCTAGTCCATAACTCCCTGGTGCGCAGCGGTGGGCGGGTACACCTAGCCAGCGCAATTTGATCAGGCTGTGGCTGACAGGCAGGGAAGCTGGGCCTCCTATATAAGCTTGCATATATATAAGGAACAGAGAATATGGGGAAGGGAAGCAACAAGAAAGGCTCCTTGGCCAATTCTGAGAAACAGGCAATAGCGGACACCGCACCAATAGACATTAAGCGCCATATAGAGAGCCTCATAGACCAATTCAGGAATGAAGTTATCAACGACCTGAAGCTAGAAGTATGCAGAATAGTTAGAGAAATGCTAAGCACCACCCAGGAAAAAACAGATGGTGGAATGGAAGAACAGAAAAAGAGGGGAGAATTGTTTGATGGAGAGAACAGAGAAAGCATAGAGTACGTGAAACAGGTTCAAAGGGACTATCAAGAAATTAAGAAGTCTATCCAAGACTGGCATAACAGCTTGAAAGAAACTAAGGACAGACTATCTGAACTGGAGAGCAGACTTGTAATATGGGACAATGAAATGAAAAACTTCTTAAAAATAACAAAGAAACAAACAGCAATAATACAAAGACAAGAAGATGATAAGAGGAGCCATAACTTAAGGATTAAGAACATAAAAGAAGAAGTAGGGACACAAACAAGTGAACTACAAAAGCTACTCACAGAAATAATCCAGGAGAATTTTCCTAATTTAGCAAAAGGTAAAGATACTCAGATGTATGAGGCATACAGGACCCCAGCTACCTACAACCCTAACAGAGAAACACCCAGGCATATAA